CTCTGGTATCTTCCCATAACTTTTATCCTGTGTACAATAGGCGCCCTCGCTAACCTCTCTTTCGTGGAGATGCTTATGTGGTTCTTGAGCTTTCGGTGCGCTTGCTAGACGATCAAATTCGTCCACGTTTTGATTTTGTGCTACACTGCTGAAGTGAGGATTCCCACAATTCTCCACCCCCATACGTTGCTCCATAGATGCCACCAAGCGGTTCAAAGACTGGTTGTGCCAGAGTTGATCATGGAGACTTCGTCCCTCATCGATCCAACCTTCCACATCGTCAATGGACGTAAGACCCATCACTCGTCGCCTTGCAGTCTCTGCATCTTCCTTTTCACGCTGCGCTCGCTCATTTTCAATTTGCTGGTGCAGTTGCTTCCGCTCTAGCTCTTCTTGTTCTCGTTGTTGTGTCTCCTTCACCTCGGCAGTTTCCTTCGTATCAATAGCTAGAACGTGTCTAAGTTTGAGCATAGTAAGATCCAGCTTCTCTACAACTTGTCGCTGAACTACTTCCTCGAAAGAATCTCTATTCTCTACTGGCGCCACGCCAATTGCGTTATCTTCGGCTTCCTCAGGAGGCTTGCCACTGTCTTGCCTTTCCGAAGTTATAAGATCGATATTGAGGTTGTTTTGGACCCAATCAACATTTCGCCACGAAATATCAACATTTGTGTCGTCTTTTTCCTCCTTGAATGACGCTATTGACAGTTTTGCTTCGATCTCTTGAATTTTGCGCTCGGTGAGGCTTCGTAATGTTTTGATCTCTGCTTCCACTGTAGATTCACGTTGAGTTGATATGTCTACTCTTTCGAGCTGTTGTAGTACATTTTCAATGTCAGCTGAACACGTTAGTAGTTTACCACGCATAGGTATTAACCGGAGTATCTCCATTTCACGCTCCTTTGTCTCTTTCTCTTCGGCCTTCTTCTTTTCTTCCGCAGCTCCTTTCTCTTTCTTCTCCGCTTCTTTCGCCGCAGCAGCGGCGTCTTCCTCGGCCTTCACGTCGGCTTTCCGTCGCTCTGTCATGTCTGCAAACGTTAGATCCAGTTGGGATACGATCGTTTGGGTGGCAGACTGGAGCTCAGCGTTGGCGGCGTTCCTGATCGCTGCATCGTCTTCAGTCTTGTCCTCTTCGGGTGTATCATCTTTCTTTTCCTCCTTCTCTCTACCTTCAAACGGCTTTAGTGCTTCTAAGAGCAACTCATTGATAGTATTCGCCGCATTGCGGACTTTCATTGCTGCCACGACACAAACCCCAGGGCTCTCAGCCTTCTCCTCTTGTTGTTGAGGCGTTGATTCAAGTCCTTTAGAAGTGATCGAGCTTAGGCGACGACTCTCTCTGAGCTTCCGTATCTCCTCAGCGAACGAATCTTCATCGTCTTCTGAATCCTCTGGGGGTGGAGGCGGCGGGGGCGACTCCGGCGATGATCTAAATTTCCCTCTTGAGACGTCAAGTCGTAGTGAAGGACGACGGCCTTTTGACGGCGTCTTCCCGAAGCGCGTACTCTGACGAAAAACATTTGATAGTTCGTCAGTTGTTGATGTTCTTGCAGCCTTGCTTGCCTTTATTCGACTGCCAGTAGAGATCAACTCGTTGAGATCGCGGATCTCTTTTCCAATCAACGCGTCGATGGAGTCTTCGTCTGGTGTTAATGAAGTGTTGATATCCTCCGACACGTATGACGGAGACGGTGACGATGTGACTGGAGACAGCGAAGGTGGAGTAAACGATGGCGATGATAGGACAGGTGACTTGGGCTCAGGCTTGCGTCGTTGAGTATGGGCAGACGTTGTTGGCTTGAATTGAGTTGACACAGGAGAGCAGGCACTGCAGCGTTTACTCACGAGTGAAGGTCTGTTTCGAAGAGCCTGCTCAATCCGCGGCATGGGGGACACTGCCACTTCCTCGTCGCTGGAGTCGTCATGATGTGCGTTTTGGATTGTAGATCTGATCGGTTTTCTTGGCGTAGGCTGCGTTTTCACAGCTCGTAGACGACCAGAGTTCTTTTTAGCTTGTGGACTCGTTGGAGGGGATGATACTAACACTGGTGAGGTGTTGGAGCTTGGTTTGGTTTGATTCAACCTCGATCGATGGCTTGTGGCACTCTGTTGGAAGTCGGAGACGAGCTCATCAAGAGACATTTCCTCTTTATCCTCGTGATCATATCGCCAGCTTCTAGAAGCCTTGGATGTAGATACTGCCTTGCCTCCAGCCGTAGAGTCGAAAGACAACTCGAGGAACATGATCCAGCGGATACGAAGGCACCTCGATACACAGGTACTGCCAAATGGGATCCGTTGCGGACAAGTGGTGTTATCCGTTTCGACTGGCTGGTCGGGCTATTCCAGGGTATTGAGCTCAGATAAAACCGACTGACTTGAATGTAATTATGCTATGAATTGTAG